TTGACATAGAAATTAGACTAAATTGAAATTCAGGTATATAAAGAGCATTGACTAATTTCAAATGATTACCAAAGTAGATAGAGCCAGAAAAATTGGCAGTGATGTTGTTCTCATTAGGGAAGTGAATATGAACAAGGTTAATACGTTTAATGTTGGAAAAAATTTGACGTGATGACAAACATGGTATGATATCCATAAGTCAAGAAGCTGTATAGATAATTGCTTTGAATAAACATCTGTATTAGTGATACTTAAAACTAAATGTGAATTATCAGTATAGATGTGCTTATATGTGTTCTGACTCTAAGCATCTTTCTTTGATTGTTGAAGAAGAAGAAGAAGAAATAAGTGTTGGTAGTCTTTTTTGGAGATGATTTACCTATTTGTTTGAAGGCTCCACAAGATTAGATGTTGCCTTATTTTCTAAATGAGAATCAAGACGTGTAGTTAGGGTTCTTGTTCGATATGTTAGAGGAGACCCGTGCTTAAAATAACGAACATCACTTATATGGTTAGTTTTCTTACAATAGGTACATATCATTAAGGGTCTTGGATGACCTCTTTGTCTTACGTGTACCATGGAATTAGAATTATTGGCAAAGAAGATTGTGGAACTAGTGGTGAAAGGCTGAGGGACAAAACCTCTTGTTGGACAATGAGCGAGTAAACATGACTAATGCATGGAATAAAATCCATGATCAATACTTGAGTGTGAATGTTATTCTAAGAGTCATTGAATCCTTTGAGAAAGCAAGAAACATACTCCATATGTTTGTATTTGTGAATAACTTTGGCAAAGTCGCAGATGTAAGGAATTTGGCAAGAACAAGATGAAGCTAGGCAAAGATCCTCAAGCTAGTCCAATAGAATCTTTAGTTCACTAAAATACTAAGAAAGTATCTTATTCCCCCCAAGTATTGTGCATTAATTCCCCCGTGGATCTCTTACAAGATGCTCGGGGCTTGGGCTTTATCAATGCATTTGAGGAGGGGGATCGAGAAGCCTCTCCGGTATAACTTGTCCTCGAGCAGTACGTAAGAATAAGCTTGGCGTTTGACTGTGATGGTCTCCTTCGCATTGTCAGGGAGACGTCTCGCGCTAAGGTAGGTGTACACCGGGGTCATCCAGCAGTCGTTGTCCCCGATGACGTTGACCTCGAGCATCGCTTTCGCCTTCTCCATGCTTGGCCGAGCAAGGACTTCCTGAACGACGGATTTGTTCCCATGCTACTTCTTCGTGCTCGCCAGTTTCGAGAGGATGCCTGCTCGGGTATTATGCTCGCGGGGGACATGCTGCAATTCGACAGAGTCGAAGCTCTTCATCCACTCCTTTATAAGAGCTAGATACTCAGCAAGATTGTCGTTATTGGCTTGATACTCACCCCAGACCTGGGAGGCGACCAGCTGGGAGTCCGTGAATTTTTTTATCTCCTTGACTCTGAGGTCTTCCGCCAGAACGCCTCATACTCAGCCTGATTGTTTGTTGTCGGTAAGGCCAGGGCAAGGGATACTTCCACCACGGTTCCTTCTTCATTTTCCAAGATAATGCCCGCGCCGCTTCCCGACGAGCTCGAGGCACCATCGACGAAGATGATCCACTTGTGAGCCCCGAAAGTCGGTTTCGTGGTGGGCGTCATCTCGACGATGAAGTCAGCCAGGACTTGTGCCTTGAGTGCTTTTCTGTCTTTGTAGAGGATGTCGAACTCGGAGAGTTCTAGCGACCACTTCAACATGCGCCTCGACATGTTTGGTCTACCGAGCAGCTGTTTGACGGGCTGCTCGGTTTTAACCACGATAGTATGGGCTAAGAAGTAGTGTCGCAGCCTTCTGGACGCATTGATGAGGGCCAAGGCGACTTTCTCAATTTACTGGTATCTCACTTTGGGGCCGTTGAGGGCCTTGCTCGTGAAATAGATAGGCTTCTGTCCGTCGAGAGCTTCCCGAATCAGTACGACGCTGACGGCCTCGGTGGAGACAGCCAGGTACAAGTAGAGGGTTTCCCCGACGTTCGGTCTCGTTAGAACTGGTGGCTCCAAGAGGACACATTTGAGATGGAGAAGGGCCTGCTCGCATTCGTCCGTCCATTCAAACGTGGCCTCCTTCCTTAATAGTCTAAAGAATGGGAGGGCATGTTAAACAAACTTGGCGACGAACTGGGATAGCGAGGCGAGCATTCCATTCAACGACTGGATCGACTTCTTTGTGCTCGGCATTGCAAACTTGGATAAGACTCGACACTTGTCCGGGTTTGCTTCGATCCCTCGTTCGGTCAAGTAGAATTCGAGGAACTTTCTCGCCCGTACACCGAAGGTGCACTTCTCCGGGTTGAATCGCATCCTGCACTTTCTTGCCGTTTCTAAGACCTTCTTGAGGTAGACCGCATGGTCGACCTCGGTCTGTGATTTGACGATCATGTCGTCCATGTAAAATCCGAGCATGTTGCCAATATCTCCCCGACAGACTTTGTTCATCATCCGTTGATAGGTGGCACTAGCATTCTTCAGACCGAAGGGCATTACATTGTAGTAATAATTGCCCGACTCAGTCATGAAGGTCGTGCTTTATTTGTCGGCCTCATCCATGAGGATCTGATTGTATCCCGAATACGCGTCCATGAAGGACAATAATTTAAAGCCCGCCGAGTTGTCAACGAGCTTGTTGATGTTAGAAAGGGGATAAGCGTCCTTGGGACATGCACGGTTAAGATTTATATAATCAACACACATCCTCCACTTTCCATTATTCTTTTTTACCAATACAACGTTGGACAACCAGGTTGTATACCGAGCTTCCGAAATGAAATTTGTCTCTAGGAGGTCTCACCTGATCAGAAGAAGTCACTGGCCGACCACACGTCTGAGTTGTCTGACTGCTGGGGAGAATGAAGGGGGTGTACCTGAAACACACTCCGATGTCAAAGTAAGAGTCGGGCAAAGTGATAACAAGTATAGAAAGAGAAGTAAGAATGAGATTACCTGACCCTCTAGTGAAAGAGGGCATTTATAGTGTACCCTCATCGCAGGGACAACAGTTACTTCGCGTTGGGCTGGGCTGCCAGACCCAATGCTGGTAACTACTAGGGCTGACGTGGCGTCAGGAAGACCAGCACCTGGTCTTCGCCCTAGTGTAACTGCTCCGTGCTAGAGGTGGAGGACCGAATAATCAGGGCACGGGTAGTTACCAGCGGAGACACGTTGAGAACGTGGGGAGGTTAGAGGAGCCCCCCGAGCTGGATAGAGTCTGCCCGACGGCTGGGCAGACGAGAGAGCGTGCCTGGCAGATGTGAGGTGCCTGCTCGACTGCCAATAGGTTCGTGCCCGACAGGATAGAGGGCTCTGCCCGATGGAGCGACGATTTAGTTCTTATTGGGCCTTCCAACCGACACGGAGTTGGGCCTGCTCGACTGTGGGCTAAGTGTCGGCACAGTCTAGAATAGTAACTAACTAACAACCAATTTGTAACAAACTACTAACTAATTGGTACACATGACAATTATGAATTAAAACTCAACAAGGTCTAAGTATTCTGGTCTCACCATTATCTATTTAGTAAAATCAATTTTTTTAATTAAAATATTTATTTTTCCAAAATCAAATTCCATTACAAATAATAAAATAAAAAAATCTCAAAATATTTAATACATATATTATAAATATTTTTAATAATAAATACAAATTAAAATATTCAACATTAACCACATATTTAATATTTTAAATTATTAACACTAAATAATAAAATATATTATAAAATAAACGAGCGTATATTCAAAATAAATACAAATATCTCTATTATTCTACCCGTATCTAAATTTTATAATTGAAAAAATTCAAACCTAAACTTAAACTAAATGAAAGTCAATTTTTTCGATAAATTTGAAGCTGAGTTTGGATGAATATCTACCGAAACGTGGATTATGTGGAATATGTTCATTTTATTTGAGTAGGATATTGCCCCTATGTAGGGCTGGCAATGAACCAAACCAACTCGAAGATAGTTCGGAATTCGACTCGACAATTAAATCGTTGAACTAGGTTCATGAACCAAATGAGTTGAGTATGAGCGAAAAATTAAGTTCGTTAACTAAATGAGCTGAACTTGAACTATACATAGTTCGACTCGTTAGGTTCATGAGTCAACTCGATTACATATGAAAAGAATTATACTGTCTTTAAGATTAGGTTTAAATATTTACTTTAAATCTTAGACAAATTTAATCTTAAATTTAGTAGTTTTTGAATTAGACTCTCAAATGTATCTCTTTAAAGTTGTGTAGGTTTTGAATTAGTAGATTTCGAAGATAAAATATCCTACTCATTTCCAGCCCTATGAAAAAAAAGCCTATACACTTGAATCTTTAATTAATGTGACATTTAGGAACAATTCCGAGTTTCTTTAATTAAAAAATATTTATTCTGCAAATTTTTACTAAACTCGTCAATCATTATCTTAACAGCACCTGATAATAATATGACGGTGATGGTGATGTAATGTGTAATATTTATCTTAACATAGATGACCTTTGTAATTAATTTTTTTAACCAAACCAATTAAATTCTAAATATAAATAATCATTTCAATTTGAATTCAATTTAGAATTCTCTTAAATTGATTTTAGATTAGTTCGTTACAATTTTTTTTTTAAAAAAAGGAACTTTTACTATTTAATAATTTTAAAATTGTTTTATAAATTTTTTAAGTGTTAATAGCCATGTTGTCTGTGTTTGGCATTTTTACATTTTGGAATAATAGAAGCAGATTTAATCAAAAAGTCAGAAACGGACAACCGTTAATACAGAGTTACATGTAACACTTGTCACAGGTGATCACAGCACCGTTCAAAAACCACTATATAACTTTCACCCTTCTCTTCTCTCTCCCCATCTATCTTTTACACCACTCCTGGTTATCTCACAAATCCTTCATTCACACTCTGCAAAAAAAGAGTGTGATCCAAAATTTCCTTGGTACTTGCATTTCTCAGCAAACTCTGAGATCGCGAAAATGGAGTTATTTTTCTACGCTGTGTTCGGTGGATTAGCCGCTGTTGTTGCAGTTCTTGAGCTTAGCAAAAACAATAAGGATCGAATCAATACTTCTTCGGTTTTCAATTCCTTCAAAAACAATTACCTACTCATTTATTCTCTCATGATGGGTAGATCTGGATTTTCTCTCTTAGATCTCTTTCGTTTCATTCTCGATCTGTTTGTTTTACGCTTCATTTTAGTGGATTCAATGTCGTTGTGAATCGTGATCGTGTTTTTGTGCTTATTGTTTGTTTCATTTGGTTTTGTTGTTGTTTCGTGATTGATAGATTAATGACAATAATTGCTAAAAATAAGAAGCTATTTTTGTTTTTTTGTGTGCGACTTGTCTGTGATTTGTTTATTCAAATTGAATTTGGTGTGAAAACAAAGCAATTGAGATGGATCTTAGTGTATTTTTCGGTATCTGAAATGGACATTGATTCTTTCTTTATGATCTTCTTAGCTTGGGTTGCTTGTGACAGTTGTGATGTGTTTTTTGGGTCCTGGAAATTGTGATTTTTACTTTCTCTCTTTGCTTTTTGGTTTTGAAATGGTTGTGTACACTATACTTTCCTTATTTTATGATGATATTCTTTATCTTTTACAGTTGTTACTTATTATCCTTCAAATCTTGATAATGTTGGGTGAGACTGAGATCGGATATAAATTAGAAGTTTTGATCTGGCCAAGTTATTATACTTTAAAAGAAGTTGATTTGATTTGATTTTAGATTCGTTAAAGTTATTATCTGATTTTAGTAACATTTTGCATCACTTAGTTATGCGTTAGATGCTATTTTTTCTTGGTGAATATAAGGGGGACCCGAAATTGCAGTGGTTGTACGTGGGAAATTGTTAGCAGAGATGTTGGTTTTTGGTGATCTAATAGGTTTCTGTTTCTATGGCTATAGCTGGTGATTGGTTGCAAGGTCCATATGTCTACTACCTTTATAGTACATATGGATATGGAAAAGGGGATATTGGACAACTCTTCATTGCTGGCTTTGGGTCTTCAATGTTGTTTGGAACAATTGTGGGATCTCTGGCTGACAAACAGTGAGATTCATTTTTGTTTTCTAATTGTATTCTTAGTTTCTTACCATACATATACGTATGTCATATTTTTCAGCATTTCATGCTTTTTACTCTGAAATCAGGGGACGGAAGAGGGCCTGTGTGACCTACTGTTTAACCTACATTGCGAGTTGCATCACCAAACATTCTCCTCAGTACAGAATTTTGATGGTGGGCCGTATCTTGGGAGGCATTGCCACTTCACTTCTGTTTTCAGCATTTGAGTCATGGCTTGTTGCGGAGCATTTCAAGGTGAGGAATAATTGTTTGTTTTTAAAGTTGTCTGCTGTTAATTATCAAACTTTACCGTCATATTTTCATCTGGTTATGTTGACTTTATAACATTCTTCTCTGTACATGGAGGCTGTAAATGTCTTGAATAATATAGTTATTTTAAGGGCCACATGGAGAAGAGTAGGTTGTATAGCTTCGATATAATAATATTAGCTTGATTGTGGTAAGTAAAAATTCAAACCGGGCTAATCTCTTATGTAATACTTTAGAGCATTGCTAAATATTCCGAGAGACTTGTATACGAAAGGCAAGAGTGTTACTGTGAACCGTTTTTAAAATACAACTAAATTGTTTGGTTTGGCTTTGACAGAAATTATGGGTGGGTGGTTGTGTAAATCTATGGCGACATTTATTCTTGCGTTTCTTCAATTGAGTATCTTTATACAAATGAGCAATTTCCAATACTTAATATGTAATTATGTTAAATGAACTTCTTAATATGTCATTCTAAACAGAACTAGCTAGTTGATAGATCTAACAACTACAAACTAGGTTGATTCCAAAACATGTTCATTTCTGGGGTTTATAAATTTATTATGTCCCTATAAAAAAAATAAGCATGCATTTTACAGTATCCCCCAGTGGCTAATGAAGTGATTTTTTTGGTCATCAAAATACCACACTAAAGGATTTTACCATGCTTTTTTATACCTCTGTCTTGATTCCTTCATTTTGCATTTTGTATTTATTAATCTCAATTTTTTTCACATGAATTTATCAGAGGGGCTTTGATCAGCAATGGCTGTCATTAACATTCTCGAAGGCCATATTTCTTGGAAATGGTCTTGTCGCCATTTTTTCTGGGCTGTTTGGAAATGTCCTTGTTGATACATTGGCTCTTGGACCAGTAGCTCCCTTTGATGCTGCTGCAGGTTTTCTTACAATTGGTATGATCATCATATTATCTACATGGACAGAAAATTACGGGGATGCTTCTGAAAACAAGAGCTTGCTTGCCCAATTCAAGGGTGCTGCTGTGGCCATTGCTTCTGGTACACTTCTTACCTTAGATAGTATTTTTCTCAATTGTTTTTAAAGTGGTTCTGTGCTATGAATTTGAACTTTTTAACTCTTAATGTGTAACATTAGTGTATAAGGAGTGGGCTGGTCATCGTTTCATTCCATCTTGAAAGTGATTTATGTTGAAATGAACTTTTCGTTTTGCCCTTCCTTTTCTGTTATCATTTATTTTATTCACCTTGTCTTGTATTTTTGCTCATTTCCAAGTTCCAACGCTAACTAATTGTTACATTCCTTGTGTTTCAGATGAAAAAATAGCCTTGCTTGGTGCGATACAGTCTCTCTTTGAAGGTTCAATGTATACCTTTGTGTTCCTATGGACTCCTGCATTGAGTCCAAATGATGAAGAGATTCCCCATGGTTTTATTTTTGCAACATTCATGTTATCGTCAATGTTGGGAAGCTCACTTGCATCCAAGTTGATGGCTCGTTCATCATTCCGTGTAGAGAGCTATATGCAAATTGTTTTTGTAGTTTCTTCTGCTTCTCTAATGCTTCCTATTCTTACCACCGTATGCTATTCTTCTAATACGCTCTCCCTCTGTTGCTTATTACTGTGATATATATCTCACACTGTTCTGCAATAGTTTGACTTTGTTATTGTGGAACAGTTTTTCGCAGTTCCTTCCAAAGCAACAGGTGGCGGTCTCTCATTCGCTGGGTGCATTCAGCTTCTCGGCTTCTGTACTTTTGAAAGTTGTGTTGGCATATTCTGGCCATCTATTATGAAGATGAGATCCCAATACATTCCTGAAGAAGCCAGGAGCACCATCATGAACTTTTTCCGCATTCCTCTAAACATTTTTGTGTGTGTTGTGCTGTACAATGTGAGTTACACAATCTACTGACTTAGATATTATGCTTGATCTTAATGTAGCATTTCTGTTGATTTAGATTCCGTAACTTACCAAACTCCAACAATCTAATCCACTTTTGTACTGCACTAATTTAAATCTGGAATATAAACCCTTTCCTAAATACAATGTCTGGTTGGACAAGTTATTCCTTCGAATTCTACTCTGACAACCTCTTTCTTGGAAATATATACGAATCCTTTCCCTTTCCACCCAACCCCAAAAGAAAAAAAAGAAAAAGATAGGGGTCTCTATCTTCCTCTCTCTATAACTGTTTAGACTAATTATTTGTTTTCTATGTGCAGGTTGATGCATTCCCTATCACCGTTATGTTTGGCATGTGCTCAATTTTCCTCTTCATGGCTAGTATCTTACAAAGGCGACTACTGGTGATTGCAGATAAGCCAAGTAAGACCCTCTCACTATGATCTGTTGCTTATGTTGAAATTCGACTGCAATATGAGTAATATGATCACCATATACACAGACCAAACAAATTTTCTTTACAAACAATATATCCCATTTTCATATAAAACAAAAGATGTTCTTAATTGGTGCTGAGATTTGTTCCTTATTTTAAAAACAGAAACAGAAGATTGGTCATTGAAGGAAAGGGACACCGAGTCAGAGCCGTTGAACCTGTAATTGGTCATTAAGTTTTGGGGAGGCACTGAACATTGCTGCTACAGCCTTACATAATGCAGTTTCTGTCTAAACTGTGTACTACACAATTTGAGTGAAGGTAAATCTGATGCCCACCAACCAAGGGGTTCAAGCTAAAAGGATGATTTAGCAATTTCTTTTTAGTGTTTTTGATTATCAATACTGTAGTAAGTAGATTTCTGTTGGCTATTATTACTTGAGGAGAAATCTCCATTTTGGTAGTTCTTATGTGATTCTTTTGGGGGCGGGCGGCATCTAAGTTTGTCCTGTAGGGAATATAGTATATTTACCCTACTTTCATTGTCTTAATTTGTATTGAAACAACTCTACATTTAATCAATGCACCCTACTAAGTCTTCATTTATTTACCCTTATCAAACATGAAAGACTCTTAGTACCTTTGCTGTTGTACAACTGCAAGCATTGTGCTCACAAATGTAAAGATGCTATATATCTGTTTACAAACAGTGGCTGTTATTAATATGAAAGGGTTATTCTTATGCCTCCATAGCTCATAGAAACGAGTTTGAATCTATGTCAATAATTTAAGAGACTCCAATAATTTGATCAATGTTTTTACTAAGGATTTGAACTAAGATACTTCTAATCAGTACGATTATAGTTGAAGTTCATCAATTACTGATACTTTGTGTTTACTACAAAAGTTTTCAATCAAAATAAATGTTTAATATTTCATTTACAAAATATTTTTATAAGTTTAATGTTGGATATCGTAAAACGAAAGAGTGAAGGTACAAAAGTTATGGAATGAGATAGCAATTTTGTGGGTCTCTCAAATTGGAAGGTACAAAGATGGAATGGAATAAAAATTATAAAACTTAAATAGTTATTTGGTCTCGGTAAGTTGGCGAATTTTTAAATTTAGTTTTTGTATTTTTTTTTTTATGGTTTGAGTCCTTATAACTCAATTTTGCGTTCTGTTAAAAAAATATTGACTGTGCAAACGGTGTATATGTAAAATTGGTTTGTGTGTTTTTCATTTATGAACATACCTATGTGAAAATTTATAAATTTTCCGCCAAAAATATAATAGTGTACATAAATTATGTTTTGTGTTTAGTCCATGTAAATTGAAGTTTTTAATCAAAAAAATTGAAACACTCCATTGAAGCTGTTGTGTGAGAGAGGGAGACGAAGATGGCAAAATACTGATATCAAGATCATCCAACGGGTATCACATGCAGTAGATTTCAAAATGAAGGTACGAATATTCAATCATTGTGTATTCTTGAAGCTTGCATCTCATAGATTTTTCTTTGATTGTTCAATACGAGGGCAATTTGATAGGGACTGCCTAATATATTACACGGAGGAAAACAAACATGCAGTAGAAATAGATCTTGATAGGTGGAGCTTATTTGAAGCAATAGGTATTGTGAAAGAGTTAACTGAGTTTGAGCAGACCGAGTATTGGTTATGGTGATATATCAGTGATGTTGATAGGTATAGTAAAATGGTTAGTGACACAGATGCTTCTAATGTATATCAACATGCCATGGAAATGAAATGCGCAGTGCATATATATGTAGAGCATAAAGGTAAACACAATGCAGGAGAAGCTGATGTAGGTGATGTTGAAGAAGTTGATGTTGATGGTGTTGAACAAGTTGAACTAGGTAATGATGTTGGTAATGTTGAGAATGTGGAAGTAGATAATGTTGGTCGTTTGAAACAAGTTGAACTAGGTAATGATGTTGGTGGTGTTAAGAATATTGAAGTAGATAATGTTGGTGGTGTAGAGCAAGATGAAGTAGGTAATGATGTTGGTGGTGTTAAAAATGTTGAAGTGGATAATGTTTGTGGTGTGGAGCAAGATGAAGTAGGTAATGATGTTGGTAGTGTTAAGAATGTTAAAGTAGATAATGTTCATGGAGTTCAACAAGTTGAAGTAAATGAGGGTAGTGAGGATAGCGAAGATAGTTAGGATAGTGACTTTGTAGCTGATGGTTAATCATTTGATGATAGTGAGGATGAGAGGACTCTTGGGTTGTATGATTGTTTTGATGTTGTTGAAAATCAACATGAAGATAATGGTAAAAGAGGTAGGATACAATTTACAACAAGGAAGCACAAGCACACCCCAAAGAAAGTACCAATTGGTGTTGATAATGTAGGATCTAGTGGTGTGGTTAATGAGATGGACATCAACTATGCCAATGATGAACTTGGTAGTAGTGACCCTAATATTTGTAATGGAGAAAAGGAACCAAAATATCCAAGGTTTAAGATGCAGGAGTTGGAGAAGAATTACAAGTACAAAGTGGGATTAGAGTTTGTATCACTTGAAGAATTTAAGGAGGCAATAACTGAATGGTCAATATTGAGTGGTAGACAGATAAAGTTTGTGAAAAATGACAAAGTTAAAGTAAGGGTAATTTGCAATGACAAATGTGGGTTTTTAGCACTTGTAAGTAAAGTTGGGAATAAGCACACATACAAAATGAAGAAATGGATTGGAACACACACGTGTGGTAGGGTACTAAATAATAGCTATGCCACTTCCAAGTGTGGTAGGGTACTAAATAATAGCTCTTCCACTTTCAAGTGTGGAAGGGTACTAAATAAAGTTCTTCCACTTCCAAGTGGGTTGCTAAAACTGTGACGGCTAGAATGACTTCTTCAGATGGTGTTACGATTCGAGATATTGTAACTGAGATTAGGGGTAACTTTTTAGTTGGTATAACTATGAGCAGAGCATGAAAGGAAAAATAAATTGCAAAAGCTTTGGTAGAAAGTGATGTAATGAAACAATACAACCTTTTATGGAGATACTCTGCACAGCTAAGGAGAGAATGTTGGGAACACTTGTAAAATTAATCTGACAAGGGTTGGGCCAACAATACAACAAAGGTTTGACCGCTTTTATTTTTGCTTAGATGAGCTTAAAAAGTGATTCACAACCTCTTGTAGGCCATTCATTGGTGATCTCAAGAAAAAGTATGGAGGGACTCTCCTTATTGCAGTTAGCAGAGATCCAAATGACCAATACTATTTTGTTACCTTTGGTGTATGTGAAACTGAAACAAAAGATTCATAGAGGTGGTTTCTAATATTGCTTATGGAAGACATTGGTCAAGGTAAGAGATGGGTTTTCATCTCTGATCAACAAAAGGTGTTTTTTATGTTTTTTTGGCTCTAATCCCTGATTATGTTCATTTGTTTGGATTTCATCCCTAACCATGTTAAGTTTTCTTTTGTATTTCATCCCTAAATTGGCATGGTTTGATACCAGTGTTTGAAGAGTTGTTTGAGAGAGTGGAACATAAACTTCGTCTCAGGCATTTATATGCCAATTTTAAAAAGAAGTTTGGTGGAGGTACACAAATTAGAGACCTGATGATGGCAGCTTCCAAAGCCAGATATATCCAAGCATGAGAGGCTAAAATGAAAGAGATGAAGGAGCTCAATGTAAAGGCTTGGGAGTGGTTGTCACACATACCTACCAAAGCATGGTGTAAGCATGCATTTTCTTTTTATCCTAGATGTGATGTTCTAATGAATAATGTATCTGAGGCTTTTAATAGCACTATATTAGTTGCAAGGGATAAACCAATATTAACTATGTGTGAATGGATAAGAAACTATCTCATGAATAAGAATGTCAGCTTAAGAGAAAGGGTTATTAGATGGAATCATAGGATATTGCCTAGACCTAGACTCAAGCTAGATAAGAAAGTGGAACATGCAGGGAATTGGATTCCTAACTAGTCTGGTGATACATTATGGAAAATGGAACATACACATACCAGTAATAATTTCATTGTGGATACTTCAAAGAAAACTTGCACATGTAATTTTTGGGAACTTGTGGGCATTCCTTGTAGACATGCAGTAGTTGCATTAGGTTTTAGGAATCAATGCCCATAAGATTATGTTGATGACTGTTATTCCAAGGAAACCTATGAGAAATGCTATAGTTTTAATGTAAGTCCTATTAATGGCCAAGACATGTGGGCAGAGGTTGACATGGAAGAGATGTTGCATCCAACCTATAAAAGAGGACTTAGCAGACCAAAGAAGTTGAGGAGGGAACTTGATGAGGAACTTAGTAAAGTAAGAACACAAACCACTTATTGTTGCACTAGATATGGTGTCCATGTCCATAATGCAAGAAGTTGTACTAGTCAAGTGGTTGACCCTGAAGCTAAAAAACGCAAGGTATTGAATTTGCTATAACTTTGCATATCTTACTATTGTCATTGATAATGTCAATTACTCGACTATGATTTATTTATCCAGAAAAGGCCAAAGAAGACTGACCCAGGACAAGGAAAAGGACAAGAACATAGTCAAAGTCAAGCTGTGTCAGTTTAAGGAAAAAGTCAAACTCAAACTATTGAGACTTAAATCGAAGTTTACTCTGAGTTTGAAATGCTTGCTGTAAATCTTGCAGCAGCATTTGAGGCAACTAAAACACAACCTAATACTGTTGTTACTGAACCTGTTGCATCATCTGCACAAAGTGAACCAGGTAATACTGCACCTGTTACATCATTTGGACCTATTGCAACTTCACAAACTGAAGATATACCTGACTATATTTTGAGTGCTCCTGTTCAATCATCTGACAATGTGCCTGCTACATCTGTGCCTACTACTCCAAAATTTCTTAAAATAGTTGAGTATATTGTACCACTTCCTAATAATTTGGTATTATTCTATTGATGTATAACAACTCTATTGAAGTACCACTTCCTAATAATTTGGATATGTTTGTTGTGTCTTTATTGTATTGTTAGACATAAGTCTATGACCTTTGACTTTATTTACTTTTAAGACATATCACACCATTATGGTTTATGTTTAGGTGTGAATTTGTTGTACTATGTGATGAATTTATAAGCCTTTTGGCTATATGTAATTCTGAGACATCTTTTGGTTTATGTATGGTCTGTTTTGCCTATATTTTGAGATCACTTTTTTATTCCTTTATGTTATACAATATTAACTAAAAGATTGTA